GTTTATGGAGAAGAATCCATTTTTATTTTGTGATTAGTTCTGCAATTTTTTATTTTAGTTCATTAATTTAATCTCCTTTTCCCCAGTTATTTCTGGTTCCTTTCTTTCTTTTGTTTTGATTTTGGGTTTTCCTTTGACCAGGCCTTATCAACTTGTCACTTCCCTGGCTGACAGAGACTTGCTGACTCCTGCTGTGCCATAGCCTGCTCTGGGGGCCTGGCCTTATCAACCGATCACTACAGAGACTGTTTGCAGAGTCAGCCTCAAGTACCCCAAGGACACTGATGCCTGACCCCTGACACCTAGCAAATTCCTACAGCTGCGTTCATCTGAGTCCCTATATAACTCCAGATAGCTCTGCTTATAAAACACCTTTTCTTTGAGTCTGTAGCACATTTAGGGTCATTTATGTAAACCTCTAAGCTTTAAATCCCCACTTTGGGAGGAGATGTACCGATTTACTGTATACATTGAATGTCATTAGTTCTCTGAGCCAACAGTTGCAGCAACAACAAGAAACACTTCCCTGAAAGGGGTCTTCTTGGCCATAGGGGCCCTTTTAAGTGCCTGGCAGGCTCCCTCTAACAAGAATGGAGAGGGGACATGGTGTCTTGAGTGAGCATGAACTAATAGCCCTTGAGAAGCCAAAACACCAATCACAAGACAGACTCAAAGGGAAGTAACCTGGCCCTGCTCTGCACCAAGGAAAACAAACCTCTCAAGTTGTTTGGTAAGATAAAGGGTTTCAAAGAGTGGGTGTGAGTTTGGGGGAAAGGCAGGCATCAAAGGTTACATCAGGGACTCAGACCATTTAATCAGACTCTGACCACAAGCACAGGTGACACCTAGAAACCCAGGCTCCAGTGCTGGCAATCCTGGGTCCTTAGTACCTAGGGGCTACGAGACCCAGAACTGTACAGCTTTAAACCATGAGGGGTAGAAGCCTATTGTTACAGGGTCTAGAAGCCAGAGGCTTATGGCTTCAGGCACTTAGGTTAGAGGCTTATTGTTCTGGGCTTTAACAGCCAGCAGCCCCAGCATTTAACAGCTATTGTAATTCTTGACTTCTAGAAGTAGTGAGTGTCAGAAACAGGTTTTCTGGTGCTACAACATTCGTACAGGCTCTGGGTGCTGGGCCCCTCCATTCCATACTGGCATACAGGCACTAGTATGTCAGGACCCTCAGCCCTCAGCCTCTAGTATTACAGTTTTCAGGCCTAGGATATCTGAGACCCTTGACCATCTGAAACTCTTCCAACAGCAGGACCTGCAGCTTCTCACCTTCAGCTCTTCACAGACTCTGTGGTCTCCATGGTGTCTGCTCCTGTCTCTTCTGCCCTAGCTTCTCTCTGGAATTCGTCAGTTGCCTTTGATAGAATGTATAACTTGCAGAAGAGCCATAAGCTTCCTTAAAGGAAGCCATAAGGTCATAAATTCCTCAAGGTAGCCAAATGGCCCAAATTGGAGGCTTGGCCTTTGACCAGGCCTTATCAACTTGTCACTTCCCTGGCTGACAGAGACTTGTTGACTCCTGCTGTGCCATAGCCTGCTCTGGGGGCCTGGCCTTATCAACCGATCACTACAGAGACTGTTTGCAGAGTCAGCCTCAAGTACCTAGCAAATTACTACAGCTGCGTTCATCTGAGTCCCTATATAACTCCAGATAGCTCTGCTTATTGATGCTGATGTCTGTATCCACGGACAAGACACTGGCCCTTTGTTATGCTCTTCTGAAGTAAAAAGGACATAGTCCTTGCCTGTTGCAGGTCTCGCCTTCCTTTTTCTGCCCTCCTAAATATAACAGCCTTCGCCACTTCAGCCACCATCACAATTTTCGCCTTTTTCATGACTGTCCTCTCATCCTTTCTTTGTGTTATCATCTCAGCACACTGTAGCAATGATGAAAATGAAAAGAATCCCCCATTAAAGCCTTTTGTTGAGTCTAATGTTGCAACACGAGGGAGGCAGTACAGGAGAATGCCTCCCAGCTGGCTCTCAAAGTGAGCTGAGCAGCTAGCTGGGAGAGTCACAGGAGGATGTCTGCACCAATGATGGCAGTTCTTCATGCCAATGAAGCACTGTGTTTACAGCAGTCACGGCACAGTCCTTCACATGTGACAGAGCGTACACCAAGTATAGCAATCCCCAGTACAAATGAGGGACTATGGGCTGGAGAGATGGCTCAGTGGTTGGGAGCACTGGCTGCTCTTGCAGAGGACCCGGACCCCGGTTTGAGTCCCGGCACCCACATGGCAGCTAACAACCATCTGTAACTCCAGTTCCAGGAGATCCAATGCCACCTTCTGACCCCCATGGGCACTGCATGACATTCATACACATTAAATAATTTTTTTTAATTTTTACAAAAACTTTATTGAGAATTTCATACATGCATATAAGCTATTTTGATCAAT